CTCCACTTTTTGCTTAGCCTTGCACACCAAGATATCTCTTCATCCACTGAACTGCAGCTTACGGGGAACAGAAGTGGGAGAAGCTGTGGAGCTGCCGAGCACAAAACCACTCCATCTCCTGTCCTGCAAGCACCACGTGCCAGGCATCACCTGGAATGTGCTCTGTGGCTCTTGGGACTTAGCAGAGGTGAGACAGGAACTCAAAGGCCAAATGTAAATATTGTTCTATTGTCAGCAGCCTGATAATAACAATATTTATCTTAAATGTGTGCTGGTTGCCCATCACCTGTTCCTTACCCAGTTGTTAAAAACTGCTGATGTCCCTGTAATACCAACTTTCTATGAAATAATCTGTAGTAAAGTATTGTATCTGAAGACAGAAGAAAGTTTTGTTCCACTGTGACACCAGGCTTCCTACCATCCCAGCTGCAGACCTGCTCTTTGGCACTTCAAAATTAGCAATGAGAAATCAGCTGGGAGCCAGAGAGCTGCAAATATTAAGGGCAGCTTTTATCCACCGGGACAAGGTAGCATCTTTCATTCCCTCTGAGGAACTGTGACAGAGCCAAGTCATCACTGGAAAGTATTTGCATATTAAAATTGTTTCATTATCTCATAAAAGTCTCTAATCAGTCATTGGTGTGCTAAGAGAAGAAGAACGTTAACCAAAAGGAAGAGGAAATAAATGCAAATACATCTTCACAATCCCAAGCAGCAAAAGACTACAAAAATATCAGGTAGATTTGGGACAAAAAGTAATGACAAAAATAATAAAAATACGATTTTGACCATGATAAAAGGAAATACACCATAGTAATTGATTCTTTCATAGGCTACCTCAGTAAGACATTTATACAGAGGACACACTTCTACAGAGAGTCAGCCACTGCATTTATCTTCTTTTTCTATTTCAAGCTGGGGCAGTAAGCCATGCTTAATTTTAAACATGACAGAAGGGCTGTCTGACAGCTCCAGCTGTTTCAGCTTGTGCTCTTCTTCACCACAGCAGAAGTATCTGAGCAAAACTCGACATGAATCACCCTGAGCTGTTTTGAAATCATTTAATTCTTTAACAGATAAGGAGGTATGATTTAAAAATAAATAAATCATGCTGAGGGATTTGAACAAAATTTCTGTAGCCTGGCATCCGTCACAAGTCAGATTTGGAAAATACAGGGAGACAAGGGAAAAAAAAACAACTACAACACACCAAAGAGACACCTCTAGACCTACCAGCACCATTGGTGGTTTCTCCCTGTGGAAGGCTGTAGGTTTCTGGGAGCACAGGTATGGCTCCATCCCCTTTCTCACCCCTCACCTACATGAGCTTCTGACTTTTGCCCTCATGACATTCACCTTACAATTGCACACTGCCCACATATACTCAAATTATCTTCCTCCCAGACCAGGTCCTACAGGCCCTCACTCGAATGAGTAACACTGCTGGAAGTGTTCCAATCCTCAACTACCCTGGCCTGGCCAGATCTGAGCTGGTGGCTCTGCCTAGGCTCACTGGCACCATGGCATGACCCTCTCAGCCACATGACCTTCCTGATGCCCCAAAGGGCAGCAAACATTCAGCAGGGACACAGCTGTCCAGGAGCATCTCCTGGCACACAGCATCAAAGTACGGCCTCAATCTCATGGCTATGCTGCACAATTACACTTAAAAGAGATAGGAAGCCTGCTTCACTTCTCCCCCCAGAAACATATTTAAGTTCTAGATCCCCATTTTTCTCCCACAGAGAAGAAAAAATAATAACAAAAATTCCACCTTCCTGCTGAAAACTCCAAACCAAGATCATTGTATCAAAGGGAGCACATGCAGCCAGAAGTGAAGAAAACGTGCATCCCAGCTGGCCATTCCTGAACTTACCTCCACAGCATCTTCAGAAGGCAGAGAAATGAAATGGCTCTGCTAAAGAGGGGAGAGGGGCTGAATTGCTTTTTGCAGCTCATCAGAGAAGTTTATGTTGGAGTGAGGAGCTGAGCACAAGTTTCCCATCCCCTTAGAAAATGAGAAGTTCAAAACCTGTGCTGATAGCAGCATCTCACTGTGCCTCACAGAACGACATGTGAGGCATTATTTCAGAAAATGGAGCTGGGTATCACTCCAAAATGCACACATCTCATATCTCAATGAGCTTTGAGTTGGTAATGCACCTTTTGCATGAGTAACTCATCCACTGCCAAGATAAGCAACTCTACCACCACCTAAACCAGATTCTGCACTAAAAATTCATACTGATTTATGGCCCATGAAGCTCTAAATTCCCAGACACTGGCTCTGTGTGGAATCCTCTGTGTCAGCAGACTTTTTAGCTGCGGGCAGTGAAGAAAAAATCCTTTTTGCAATTCAGAAAAGACCAGGAAGGGCAGACTGCTCAAAGCTGGGATTCCTGCACATTCCTGAAATACACCACAAGGAATCCGAACATCTGCAGAGGGCAGTCCATCATCTGCCCAGGTAACAGCAACCTGTTCACCCACCGTGCAGCTCCCCTATGCTTCCTCACCTACCTGATTTGAGCTGGAGGAAACAATCACATCATCTTCCTGCCCTGTCCTCAGAGGCTGCCATAAGAGTTACAATTAGCATCAATTAGGATAATCATTCTATTTGCATTTTTAAGCTATTATTAGCAAGCCGTCAGTCAGCCAATAATTTGCATCACTACCCCCCTCCTTTTTGTGCTAAAATAATAATGGTTTTAATCAAAAGCAATTTGTATTAATATATGTTTTGCCCCAGGTGTTAAGAGCAGTCTTCAAGAGCGGTGGCGAGAGATGTTAAATAACACCATTTATTAATATAGATGACTACTGATAGCCTTGGAAGTAGCAGAAATGGAGGCTCTTTTTGCAGGCAGCTTCTTAGCAGGACTCCCGGGCACACAGAGGGTCACACACTGCATGAACACCTATGCTCCTTATATTAACAATCACAAGAATGGTGTGGAGGGGTAGACCTCAGAATAAAACCAACGTTTCCCATTCCCCTGCCCAGTGCTACCTTACACATTCCTTAGAACTAGCATTATCTACTTGTTTCACACTTCTGATTTGTAATATCATAACTGGTTTTAAATTACTTTCAAACGCAATAGTGAGTGCACTCAGTGCATTTAGCTCTGAGCTGCCTTCTCACCTGCAGCACCAGCATAATAAGCTCTGCGCGGTATCTCGCGAGCAAGTTTAATTAAACCTTTCCTTTCTATTATCTTTGCTCCTATTCTAATCTAATGCTTAATAAAAAATCCCATCAACAAGCGCATGTGAAAAACCGAGCTCCGGACATAAAGCGGAACGGGACAACAGCGGCTTTCAGGATCACGAGCGGGCTGCTCGCGGCGCCAGGCTGCCAGCGGCTGCCCTCTGCCGGCCGGGAAGGGCCGAGAAGGAATTCTGCCTGCCCTGCAGCACAGCCGTGCTCCGCCCTGCCCAAATGCAGGCTTCTTCGGAGAGAAAAGTGGTCCCTGCTTGCTGATTCCTAATCGGCTATAATAATGTGTGAACATAGTCCTGATTATTTTTTTCCCCAAATTAAATGGGGAAAGAAAAGGAGGTGAACGCAGAAAGACAAAAAGTAAAACTTTTTGGAGAAGCGAAAGCTCCGGGGAGACCTCCTTGTGGCCTTCCAATACTAGAAGGGAGCACAGAAACAGGAGGAGAACGGCTGTTCATGAGGGTGGATAGTGATAGGACGAGGGGGAATGGTTTTAACTGAGACAGGGGAGGTTTGGGTTAGATATTAGGAGGAATTTTCACTCAGAGGGAGGTGAGGCACTGGAACAGATCGCCCAAGGAGGTTGTGGATGCCCCATTCCTGAAGGCATTCAAGGCCTGGATGTGGCTCTGAGCAGCCTGGTCTGGTGGTTGGTGACACTGCACATAGCAGGGGGTTGAAACTCGATGATCTTTGAAGTCCTTTTCAACCCAGGCCATTCTGTGAATCTATGAAAACCACTAAGAAGGGTGTTGCATGCTGGATCTCCATCCCACTCTCCAAGCTACAAGTCCAAGTCCATCTTCAGCCAGCTGGCCAACCACATGTGGCTGTTGCCTTAAATCAGAAAAAAAACCGAAAGAAACAAAAACAAAAAAACCCAAAAAGTACACGGCTTCACAAAAGTCATAAAGGCTGTAGAATTCATGCCTATATATGGGGAATGAATTAATAGGTTTTTACTCCTGAGACCCCTACCATATATGCCCTTAATGAGAACAAGGCACATAAACAAGGCCTTCCTCCTCAGGACTCCAGAAAATAGTTATAATAATTAGGATCACCAGTATAGGATCTTGCCTCTCTAAGTAAATGCCCAATGCACTGTGAATTAAAAAGAATTATGGTAGTTTTTCTTAAATATCTGACTCTTCCACAAGACTACTTATCCCTCCTACAGCCTACCACCTGCTTGTTGCTCTTCCTTATCTCACAAGTGAACAACATTGCAGCAGAATGTGCATTAGAGTGATGAGAGAACATGTGCTGCACCTATTTTTTTACTGCAGGCCTTTTCATACCAGCTGAGCCTTGGAAAGTTCACAGTAATAGATCTTATCTTTGCACAGCAGAAGCCAATCAATACACTCTATACTCCTTGCCCAAGTCAAAATACACTTTAGTGCTTAAAAAAAAAAAAAAAAAAAAAAAAAAAATCCAAGGCAAACATATGACCCTTATGTAAATAGGTCTGCAGGAACGTATTATCTTACTCATGGCATGTTGATAACAAGTATGTGCAAGGCCACTTCTAGTAAAGCTGGACAGTTCCTGAGCTCCACAGTACTGAGAGATTTCTGGATCAAAGAGGCAAATTCAGAAATTCAAAGAGATTCAATGGATTAGGAGGGGTGAAAAAAGTAATGGACAATCAATCACCTTATGAAATTTTTTTTTTTTAATACCAGAAGTGCTTATGGCTTCGGTTTCCCTGTCAAAAGGGACGTTAAACTAGACTACTGTCTAGCACAATGATAGTCAAGTCAGTCTGCAGTGCTCATACTTTTGTTTCAAGTTACCTTTAAAAAAGCCCCTGTTCCTACATAATTATTAAAAACTTGTCCTGAGTAAAAAAAAAAAAAAAAATTTTTTTTTTTGGTAGAGCATTAAAAATTCTTATGCTTTATGAAGTCTTTCTTCTTTTCTTTTCTTTTCCTTTTTCCATTTTCTTAAGCAAGGTCCCTAATCCCATTGTCTTCAAAGGTGCTTTGTCTGACGACCTATGGCTGAGGGCTGGCTCACCACACAGTCGATGACACGCAGCTGAGCGGCAACAGGCTACCTTTCCATCTCACAGTAAGTGAAAAAATGCTTAAAATATTTAGTCATAGTAAAATAGTCATAGTAACTTCCATCAGACTGACACAAATCACCCCGTTAACGCTCTATTTTCAAGAATAATAAATACATTTAAAAATTGAAGCCCCTGAGTTAGAAACAAAGACGTAACTCAGCTTCTCTTCAATAATAGTCACAGCTAACCTCAGACAGGTGGTATATTTAAAAGATTCAAAAGGGACAACTTGTGGCTTTACGCTAACAAGATTCCCATTAGTTTCATTTAAGTATGATCCAGCACCACCACCATTATCAACTCTAGTAAGCACCTCTGCATAGATACGTATTCTTTTCAAAACTATACCAAGGTTCTCATGAATTACTTGAAAGACATTCAGAACAGAGTAATATATCCAAACCCCACACTGAGGCATACAGATCTCTGAACAGCTCAGGTGAACTTGCCTTATTCTCACAGGACCAACAACAGTTTGCGTCACTTTGCCTTGAGTCCTCAATGCAGAGTTCACAATAAAATATGTTAGATGACTACGAGGCAAATCAATACATTTGAGACCATCACATAAGGAACCAAAGTTTTCCAAAAAGTATTTTCCCATTAATTTCAAAATTTTGGTACAGAAGGATGAATTTTGTAATAGAATAACTACAGAAAGCTCTTACTTTCAATAGCATTTTCAAAATCTATCTCAAAGACCACTTAAGCTTTAGATTTGCATATTTATTTTTTCTTTTAAAAGGAGAGCGCATGCAAATTGCTTGCAGCACTTGTATTTAGGATTGATTCTATCAACAGCTACTCTTGAGCAGCTGACTTGTAATGTTTCAGTGTGCGAGCAGAAGGATCAGTTGCTTTAACCCATCTTGGCATCCAGTAGTGGGGCAGCCAGCTGCTTCGCCCTGGGTAGTGCTTCTCAAAGATCTGACGGTAGTAGTAACTTTCTTTTGTTCTAGGAGGATTGAAAGGATATTTCTCTGCTGCCTTTTCCAGCAGAAGGTCATCAACCTGTAGAAACAGTAGAACTCACATTAGGCTGCTTTCTAATTTATGCAAGCTGATTTGCTCAAAGTCAGACATGAGAATTCACCACAAGTGGCCTATAAGTTTTTTAAAAAAACCTTTAAACCTATTCTAAAGGCAGGCAGAGGTTTCTCACAGGTGAATTTTTGTCACAGGCTCCTTTCCATCTTTATGGATACATAACCAAATGTCCAGCACTGTTAATGTTTCTCTCTGCGTTACATGAGATTATATATAATATCCTTTTGTTATTATGCTCAAGAAAACCCTTTTTTCTTATCCTTCTCTTTGCTGTAAATCAACTTGCACAACATGAAGCAGACTTCCTCCATGTAAATGGCATCCTATTCTTTTCTGTTCATAATGAGCTGTTCACTCTGCTTGTAAAACTGGGCTCCTATCATCAGAAGATCTGGGATACAGAGGCAGAAGACACTTTTAGCTGCTGACGTGGCTAAGAAAGGAAGGAAGAAAACTTGCACCAGTTGACAATTTCTAAAGCAGCTTCCCCTCAACATGCTGTGTAATTCCCCACAGCCATGAAATAAAATTGCCTCTACTACACCAGTACAGGCTCAGTAGAGGCAGCACAACACTAAGAACTGCTTTCTTCCCTGTGGATAAAGTAGAGAAGGACACACACACAGTTGGTAGTGAGACAGACAAGTGCCCATCCATAAGCCCAACTACACATATTTCTGTGTAACAGAGCTCTGGAGTTATTCTCAGTGATTAACTACCTCTGTGCACCAGAGACTACCCTTTGTCTGAAGTCAGAATGCTGCAAGTCTTCAGTGGTCACTGGTGCAAAGAGAGGCATTAAAAAGCAAAAGGGCTCAGGTGGGCATAACTACAAAAAAAACCAAATGAAATGAAGAAAGGATATTAGAGTAATTATACTGTTACTCCACCACAGAGTAAGTTCATGCAAGTGTTTTCAACTGAAGCAGCTGCTTTACTTATAGCCCAGAAATTGTGTTTGCCAACACAGAACCTAATTTGCAATCCAGATACTTAAATGATGCTCATTTCCTTACAGTCATTTCTGCCAGACTCTAGCATTTCTTTGTACCTATGACTTCAAATGTCTTTAAGCAACTCCCATCCCAGCCCCATCTCTGAAGGCATTTAAGGCCAAGCTGGATGGGGCCCTGGGCAGCCTGACCTAGTGGGAAGCGACCCTGCCCACAGCAGTAGGGTTGGAACAAGCTAATTTTTAAGGTCCCTTCCAACCCAGGCCACTCTACAATTCTGTGAACTTGGAAGGCTACTGATTAAAACTTTTCTTGCTCCTCCACCATGAAACTCAAGTTACTATCACATCTAGATTTATTCTCCCAACTAAGAATATGATCTGTTTCCTCTCTGGCAGTAATATCTCAATGTAACTAAATGTGAAAGAGAAAAACCCCAAATACTGTGGTACTATACCTGTTGATCAATATAGTCCTGAAGAATAGAAAACCAGGATTTCTTTACTGATGCTATACCATCACTGAAAGCTTCTTTGGGTCTCCAGAGTATTTCTTTGGGAAGCAAGTTGGAATCTTCAAAGGACTGTCTTAAAAGGTATTTTTCGATTCCATTCTGTTTGCAGAACGAACAATGCCATGAGTTTCAGGAACTGCAGTACAAAGATTTAAATACTTGACTAAGAAATATTTCCTTTCAAAAGATCTGGCCAGAAAAGAGCACCCAGTAGCCCAATATTCCAGCAAAATATTTAAAATCATATTTGGTCACATGGAATTCAGCAATTCAATCATGCTTAGAACACATAGCTGTTAATTCGTTAGGTCTGCATTTGGGTTCAACCCTAGTTTTACACACCTTTGGGATTCGCAGTTCTGCTGGTAGAGATAAATAGTAAGAAGTAAAGCGATGATCCAAAAATGGGACTCTTAGCTCAAGACTAATTGGGGAGAAAAACAGAAGAGATACTGAATTAATCCAACACACGAGACACTTACAAAATCCTTAACAGTTAAACTGTCCTTGTCTTTCACATCAGCACAAGATTTTCTGCTTTTACTTGGGAGAAATTTCACTTGTATTCATGTCTAACTCATGACTAATTCATGACTAACTCCATTTAATTCATCAATTTAGAGAGTTAAGTTTATTGTCTGAGTGGATTAACTACAGATTTCAGATGACTTATGATGCCATCTGCCGGACAGCTTCTGGTACAATGCATTTACAAACTACAATCCTGCAGGATTTGCAACATCTGTTGTTTCACATAAACAAAAATACATTGAAAAATCTGTTTGCTTCCAGAGAACTACCAAGAACCTGCAAGCTGCTGACTGGGATTTGCATCAGTATTTGTAAAGACGTCACAGAATCAAGCAAAGATTTCTGAAATCCACATTTGTTTGTATTTTCAGAAAACACTGAAAGAGAGCCTGTACAGACACCATGCAGCTGTTGCCTACTTCTCCTGTAGCATATGCAGGCTATGTCAGTAGCAAATATACAGATACAAAGTCTTTCTGCTCATACTCTCTTACAGATGACATGGCTTTTAAGGACACTTGAAAGCAATAAATAAAATTAGAGTAACGGAGGCAACAAATAAAATTACAGTGACTGTGTCTTGGGTAGGAAAAACTGCTCTCAGTGTTTTCCCTCAAGAGACATTAAGTTTCCCAACTTCAAAGGCAAATGGAGATTCTATGCTAGATACAGAGTTCAAGCAGAGTACAGACTGCATTCAGTTTGTTACTACTGCTCTTAAGACTGATGTTCTTCTCAGAGTAGTTTAGATCCAGACAATAATGAAGTTATCATGTGTCACAATATTCTAAACCATTCAGAAGTTCAACCAGCAACAAGTGAACAAGTAATTCAGTCTTCTCAATGGCAAAGGAACTTTTATTATCTTGTTAAGCTCTTCTATCAGGTGTATTCAGCATCCAAGAGACCACACCTTACCCATGTGCTGCAGTAGTTCTGTCTGCACGAAGTACATCAAACAGGTAGAGCTCCTTCAGAAGCCTCTCGCTCTCTTCTGCAGCCTCCTCAGGAGATGGTGCCTGTAACCAGACGTGTATGTAGCATGCAGATCTAATACAGCTGCAGTAAGGGAACCATTACTCACTGTCCTACATTTGTGTGTGCAAGCGACAGCTGACAAAAACGTGTCAACTTGCACACTAAGATTCCCAGATACCTATTTATAGAAATAAGCAATCTCTCCTCAAGTACAAGGTGTAAGACCAATGCATGCCTTTGCAAATACATCATCATAAACTGGAAGCATACAGAACTCTTAATTTTAACCATATTCATTTTCAAGAGCTTAAGTAGGATTCACACGATCTCAGAACTAGCAAAGAATACACACAAGAAGTAAGAGACTGAGTTTGAAAAAGTCACTTTTCCACGAGTCCCTTGGATTTTATGCCCCCTCAGGCGTTAGTCTCAACAAGTATACAGCTGTGACAATTCTCAAACTTCACACCTTGAGATCTCAGTAGAGATCTTCTGTTTAAGGGGAGAACTTCTGTTTAAGAAGTCCAAGGGCCTGCTGGAAATATACGTACCTTATGGAAATATATATATCCTTGAGTCAACTCATCTGATCCTTCTCCCGAAAAAATGACCACACTGTCTGTTTTCTTGCGTATATATTTGGAGACAAGATACATACCTTAAAAGAAGTATAAAGTTATTAAAATACAGCTATATATGTTATACACAGTTGGTACAGTTTTAATTTAGTATCTTAGAAGTTTCTTGCCTACAATAATTTCTTCTGTAGCAGAGAACTGCAGTGCACTAACACTACACCTTGTTGTTGTTTAAAGCCAACCATCACCAGCCACACAAACCAAATGCTGCAGATACATCTAAAATGTGTACTTATAGTTTGCACTCAAAATATGCAAGATGTATGTGTTAGTCACCCTGGGAATGCTGGAAGATTCTCATGGGAACAAACACAGAAGTTCTTCTAACTCAATTAAAAATGAAGCATGTTTAATCTCAGCAGAGTCCTGAAAAAACCTTCTGGACTTAAATCTTTTTTTTTTTTTTTTTTTTTTTTTTTTTTTAAATAAGTATTTATTTATCAGAGTTATATCCTTCCTCCATTAAATCTTTCCAAGTAGTATGCTTTCATAACAGAAGTATTAAACAGGACGAGGGGAAATGGCCTGAAGTTGTGCCAGGGGAAGTTTAGGTTGGATACCAGGAAACACTTCTTTACAGAAAGGGTTGTAAAGCACTGGAATGGGCTCCCCAGGGAGGTGGTTGAGTCACCATCCCTGGATGTGTTTAAGATCCATTTGGATGTGGTGCTCAGGAATATGATTTAGCAGAGGGTTGTTAGAGTTAGGCTAGTGTGGGTAGATTGTGGCTGGACTCTATGATCTTGAAGGTTTTTTCCAACCTGAGTGATTCTATGAAAAGGACCTATTTTACTATATTTCTTAACAGGAAATAATCACAAAATAAGGATAGCAGATGAAAAGTTGGCTTTATTTTTTAAACAAACATTTTCAGTATTTCACACTGCAAAATCCTAGCCTCATGTAAAGTTCCATTCAAGGACCTAAGTTTTCAAACCTGTTTTATCTTTTTGGCTTATTAACTTGTTTACAAAGCTATAGGCTGATGTAAGTGTAACTGGGTAAAATGCCATAGCTCGCATTAGGCAGAAGGCCACACTAGATTAGGGTTTTTCATTCTTATCATGTTGGTAACCATTTTTTAAGGACCTGCTGGTGACTTCTGCCATTTCTCAGAATCAAGCATACATTAGGAGAAGTCTACCTGACTTCAGTGTATATGTATTACTAGAGGGTGATAAGAAATACTTCACTTTAGTATTAAGATTATGCAAGAAACGTGGTAACCATAACTGTTTCTCTATGGTAACATTCAATGCCTCAAACACTATTCCTCAAATACAGGTTATGCCTCACATAACCTGCACGTTTTCCCTCTTCTTCTAAGGTTCATACTTATCAGAATGGAAAACCTAGACCCATAGATCAAATATTTGTTTTTTATATCGCGTTCCTTTTTCATCACAAAGTTTCAGGAATAGCTTTTGACAATATCTTATAGTCAGTGACTTTGAAACTAATCACCAGTTTGGCCTCAATCCAACGTCACATTTGAGAGCTGGGGGCAAGAACTCGGGAGTTTCTGTTCCCAAACTCTACAGCAGTTAATGATGAAAACAGTTTTGCATAAAATGTTATTAAAGCAATACAAAGTGAGTATTGCTATTAAAAATCTTACCAATTGAAGCTCTTACTGTTGTTATATCGTAGGTTTCCAAAGAAAAGATAACCTCCTCTACTGCCTGAATTCCCTCTTCAGAATTAAATATTACTTCATGATGTTCACTGCCTATATGAGCTGCCACCTGTTGGTAAGAAGTCACAATGTATTAAAACATTTTTAAACACACCCTCTGAAAGCATCAGCTCCCTTTTGCTATAAGCAGTGAGAATTACAGGACTTAAGGACAAGAAAACACAATGCTGTAGCAGCCACTCCTACTTGCAGTGGTGCTCTGTCAAAGGGAACACTCCTCCCAACTGCACTGTGCTCAATTCTGACTGCAGAACATCCACATCTACTTGCCCAAAGCCTAACAGAATCTGCAGAGGATTTAAATACACTGGAATTTACTCAGAAGAAAAAAGACAGCTCAGAAGTTACGACAGCTGGATACCCAAAGGGAACCTCAGATACCCAACCATTTGTACAAGGCTCTTAATTCAAGATGCTGACAATGAACTTGAAGTACTTAGCTTGCATATAAATGCCATTAGCAGAGGAACAATAACATGGTGACTGACCATAAAACTCAGAGGTTTTAAGAGACTGAGACCATCCTGAGGTACTGTTTCCTTTAGTAACAATGAAGTAATAGTCCATCACAAAAGTCTTCCCAAAAAAATGAAGGGAAAATAGTTATGGCTCAAATCCTCTTTTTGTAGCAATTAATTAAACATCAAATGTTGTACTAAATGATTCACAGCAAACTGATTTACATCTTCAAATTTTAATCAGTACCAAAATCAATACTGTACCATGAAGTTAGCACAATTAATATGCAGTCTCTAATACTCAACAACTCAGAACGACCTGGAAACAATATTTATTATACCTTTCTGGCAGCCAGTAAATCAGGACTGTTTTCCATCCCAATTGCAAAGGTTTGTAGTGGATATTTTATGTTCATTTCTTTCATCAGTTTCAGAAGAACAGCTGCAACCAAGCTGGAATCTAAGCCTCCTTTTAAAAACAAAACAAACAACAAAGTGCCAAATTATTTTGTTAGATGACTGACTGACTGTTTTTTATTTCCCTCTAAGGGCATTAAGTCTAGATAGCAGAATTTCACATGCAGGTTTCATTTTTAAGCAAAGTGAATCTAAAGCACATCTGTAAAACTGCACATTTACCTCTGCTTAACATTGTACCACTCGAGATGCCCCTTCTCAACCCAGCTACACTAGGCTCTACTCTTCATTTCAAAATTGCTCTCCATCATCTTCTACATACGTTACTTTACTAAAAAAACTAAGGAAAAAAAAAAAATTTGAGGTGCTGTTTGAATAAACCAAAACAAAGCAAAAACATTTTGTTTGACCTACAACAGAATGGTCAGTGTAAGAATTCCACATCTCCCTGATCATTTTTTCAAAAGCATGCTTAACATTTTGAGTGAAATTCATTTTTGAAACTATTTCAGAGTGAAAAGGCTCACTAGCAGCATTCTTTCTTTTCTTCCCCTTACTTTTTCCATTAGAAGAGTATGGATGCATTTGAACAGTTTGAAAAACAAACAAACAACAAAATACCAAGAGACATCCTAAGGCTCTTCTATTTTACTCTGAGTAGTTAGTTCTACTGCTCCTTGTCTACTTCTACTTGTCGCTCTCCCTTTTATTTGCTATACTGAGCAAAGCACAGTCCCATACTTTGCAGTTCTAGCAGAGAACAATATGTTCTTCTGCTTGTTTCCTACACTTTGTACCTAGTTTTTCAGCTGAGTGCACTAGCAAACATTCCCACTCTGATTGTCCTCTGTGGGAACCCTTTCCTGACAAAAATTTCCCTATGGAAATTACATGAATTACATGCAAAGTGAGAGGAAAGACAGAAAACACAGAAATCAAACCGAGTGTTTGAGACTGAAAATCAGGGAATCACTGTTTCCACAGTGAAGCTGAGTTCCAATCCCTTTGTGATTGGAAGAGCAAGCAACTCTGTGATGCTCCAGGTATACTCAAAATTGTGAAGCAAGGAGATACTCTGGTAACTTATCAGTACAGGACTTGAGTTTTACCACTGATATGCAGTGTACATGTGGACCTGAGGAGTCAACTGTCCTCTAAATTGAAAAGTCCATTTCAAAAACAAATTTCAGATATTTACTGAGGCTGAGATATTCCAGCTCTGCATGCCTCCATGTTTCATTTCCCTCCCTCCTTCTTTTTATCATGTCACAGTAAAGAAATGCTTCAACAGAATCTCCTGGTCAGTTCTCTCTCATTCAGATGCACACTTGCTAGGATAGGTGAAAAATGAGTGTAACTGCCTATGTTCAGCGCATGAATAAACAGTGTTACCAGAACTCTACCCAGAAGTACAAAGTGCTACAAAAACACAGTGAATAAGATGTGAGTCCCATGGCTACAAAGCCTTACCTCTGCAAGACTGAACTACCACATCATTGTGTCAGAGAACAACTTCTTGTACCACAAGCTACTACCTCACCTGAAAAAGAGTGTACTAAATAATTTTGGTCCAGAAGTTCCCTTGCAATTTGGTAAACAAAGGGCAGTTTGTGATGTAGGCTAAGTCAAAGAATATGACATGTAAGGATTTCAGTCCCATTTGCTATCTGAAACAGTCCTCTTTTTTATGTTTCAGAGTATATTTGGTGATTTTGCAATAAAACCACCTTTTTCTCTTCTTAGTTGAAAATGGTTATTTCTTCAACAAGACAACATCCCAGCCTAGAGTAAACTTAACAAGCATACAACTTTCAACATATCTGTAAACTAGAAAACTTCATTACAGACCATTAAGGTCTCTTAACTAAGAAAGCAAATGGAAGATTCAGATCACTTCAGGCACATCACAGCAGCACAGTCAGTATTTTTTCTTCTAACTGGTCGATGATGGCTGAGAAGTGAGAGCAGACAGAATCATTGCAATTTGCAATTTGTGCTATTTACCTGACAAAAGACAACCAATCCTTCTGTGAGCCATCAAACGCTTTCTAACAGCATTTTCAAACAGAACACGGATGTTGCTCTTCACTGTTTCAAGATCAAAGCCTGACCAGGAGAAAGAAGACAAAACCAAAAGAAAAGCATAATTTCATAACCAAAGATTATGATTTTATTCCCACTTTTTCATCAGAATTAATAGGAAACGCTTTGCTGTACTACCTGAAGGCAGATTTTCCACTGTATCACAAGCAGCATGGAGTGGCTCATCTTTATAGCTATGAAACTTTACTACTTCCACTGACGCAACCTTGCCAGAGGGCTTCAAATCCAGCACTTCATAATGACCCGGAAGAAATGGTTCCACTTTAGGAAATAAGGATGTTGAATGCTTTAAGTTGATAAGTCCTATAAATGAAACAGGAGGAAAACAAAATAAAATAGAGAGATAGTTCAACCTGGATTTTCTAAGGTATACCTCACTCAACTTTAGATTTGTTTATGCAAGTGTTGACACTAGAGAGAGTTACTCACAAAGAAATAGATAAATAATACTGAAAGTGTTCGTAACAAAGGAAAAAAAAACCTCATCATATAACATTAGCATCCATTAAAAAATTATCCAAAGCTACAGAAAATTTCAGTGGGGTTTTAAAATTCTTGGCTTTTACAGATTGTAAATTCCAGTGGCATTATTTCCCACTGAATTGCAGGAATAAATTCTAATATCATTTAGTGAAGCATAAATCTAGCTTAGCTCTTCAGACTACATTCAACTCTGGGTAACTGAAATACCTTGGGCTCAATACTAATACTGTTTTAGAACACAAAGAACTATAAAATCAAAGTTATTTTAGGGATTTTAAGGACAATTAAACATTTTCAAGAGTTAGCGTCTGGTGTTGGTTTTTTTTGTTTGTTTGTTTTAAATGAGGCACAGATTTCATATTACTAAACATTACTTCTTTATTACTGAACTAATAGTTCACTTTCTCTTCATACTTAGAAGAGACTAAAAAAGCGTGCCTCCAATAACAATACTTAATACTAGATGCTCAATACAACTGTTTTACCTTTTGCCTCAGAACAGACACCCAAAAATCCATCATCAGTCAGCACCTTAAACAGTGGTCTGACTCCATAGGTGTCTCTTGCAAGAAACACTTTTCTGTTTGCTGTGTCCAGAAGGATGAAAGCAAATACACCATCCAGCATGGATGCTGTTTGTTCTATCCCTCCTCTGTTGTAAAGATGAAGGATAACCTCACCATCCACCAGCGTTTGATACTCAAATCCAAACTGCTTCTGCAACTAAGAAAAGAAACACACAAATGAACAGTTGCAAATACTGATTAACAACTGAAAAAAAAAAAAAAAAAAAAAAAAGAAGAAAATTTACTAAAGAAAACAAAGGTTTTTGTTTTGTAAAATAGAGCACAAAGTTTCACAAACATTTCCATCAAAGAAGGAAATTACACTTATGTACTCAAAATATTATCCAGGATCATCTCAGAGCCAACACAGATTAATTCTGCAAACTCAAGCAATGTGCATTATGGCCTATTTTCAGGGAAGCACTTCTGTTAGGAGAAATAAAATTGCAAACACACAACCCTGGCTTTAAGAAGCACATCTTCCAAAGAGAAAAGGCAGAAGGAGGCAGCCACTGGTTCTGAAAATTCCACTCAAAATAGGACCAGAAACAGAAGACAGCTGCATTAAGATCAAGCATAGTTAATGTTCTTCCGGTGCTGCTTCTAGAGGCCTTTCAACAACTTCTGGACACCTGGGGGAAGATGGGGGATGGTGGGGGTTTCAGTAAAACACCTGAAAGTAAAGAAGCCCCACATAATCAATGTTTTTGCATTTTAACTTAAGTTCTTTGATTTTAATTGCTGTTCATGAGACAAAGATTTGGCTCAAATTGATTAATTATTAAAATAACTAAGGCATTGCCCTAAATAAGATGGCTGCTTCACCAATGGTTCTTTCATAGGTAAGAAACAAAAAGGAAAAAAAAGGAAAAAAAAAAAAGGGATTCTTTATAAAAAAAGAAGGCCCTTAACTAAGGTAGGGAAAACAACCAAACAAGTTCCTGCTGACAGAACGTCAAGTTTTACATAATTACATTCCCCTTAGGTTTCAGTGACATGAACTGTGAGTGATTCTTAGTCCTTACAGCAACAGAAAAAAACCTCAGTGCAAAACAAAATTAATATTAGTCTGCTGATGCAATACCCTTTAGATACACTTTGCCCTGGTGTATGTACATCCTACCTTTCAAAAAGCCAGATACTTAATAGATGAAATGTTAGTCCCCTTCCTATTTAGCCAAATTCCCAATGACATCCCTGACAGTAGCTTGACTTCAAAACTTCTATGTGTTAGAAATACAAGACACTTCAGATTATTCATATATTTCTGATCCATTTTAAGCATTTAGTTGCAGCATGATTCAGAATCAGTCAAAAACTGTAAGCTGCTTTATAGTCTAATTTTGGATTATCTGAATCACTTGCCTTTACAAGCAACACATCTCAGCACTGGCACACAAAGTTCAGCAGCAGTATACAGACCATATGGACAATGCTCTCAGGCACAGGATATGGTTTTGGGCAGACTTGTGTGGAGCCCCACTGACTCGATGATATTTGAGCTCAGCATATTCGAACCATACCCTTACCTGTTTAAAATTGTAGATTTCTCCATTGTAACACAGCCACAGATAAGGGAACTTCTTCACCCGGATCGGCTGCATGCCATACAGCTGGTCAACAACCGCAAGGCGGTGGAAACCAAAACAGCAGTTGGTGAATCCATTGACATTCTCAAAACGAAATGCATCAGGACCTCTATGAGCTATCTTCATGGCACTCAGACACTGCACAGAAAGGCATTCATCGCTTCCAAACAAGGCCCAGATGCCACACATTGTGAAGCTGCTGAGTTACCTAGAAATGGAAAACACATTCAGTCAGAACACAGAATCACCTAGGCTGAAGGAAACGTTATAGAGCACAAAGTCCAATCACCTACCTGACCTATATGCAGGACATGACAACTGGAAATTGTGGATACCACATGTTGATAAATCAAAAAAGTAGGGTATCAATTGCTGGACCATAAAAAGAGCTAATGAAGAGAGCAGCAGACCTTATCAACACAAGGTAAAACACAGCATGCGGATATGATAAGCAGCCTTTGTCCAGCTCATGAAATTCAGTTTAAACTTATCCTCGGGTTGTTTTTCATACAGCACCAAGCTGGGTATCAGGTAAGATCTGTTGAAGTAACATCACACCAACAGATGCTTTCTGTTCTTTCACATGAGAGCTGTTCTTCTGCCACCAAAGGTACCAAGGCACAAGGGCAGCTTCACAGCTAGGAACAGAGCTAATCCCAGCACTTCTCCTTGTATTTAGGTACGGACGGGCTGTTTGGTCAGTTACGCTATATGGGAAATCAATTTTTCCATACTCTCTGCCAGAAGTACCGTGCAGAGCCAGCCCTTCCTAGGGGCGAGCATCCCTCCCCAGCCCCGCTGCCGGTGTCCAGGCAGGGCGCTGAGGCCATGCAGGGAACGGGGTGTCGGTCGCTGGGAAGGCACGGGGAAGCCATAGGACGGCCGAACCCTGCCAGGAGCGCTGCTGTAAGCAGCAGGGCAGAGATGGGCGTTCGGCCCCACCACGCGCCTTCAGAAGGCTCGCCCATCACCTCCAACCCACCGGCCGGACCAGAGCAGGTGGAGCAGGCAGCAGCAGCAGGGAAATAAGCGGTACCTCCCCCATGCCGTGCATCGGGCTGCCCCTCCCCCCAGGGTCTTCTGCTCTTCCAAACGGCGAGAAACACGCGACAGCCCGCCCCTCAGCCCGCCGCAGGCGATCACTGCCGACCTCACAGCACACCAGGACCTCGGGTTCCCCCCCCTGTAGCGGGCCTTGGCCGCCCCTTCCTCGGCGGCCTCATGCAGCCCCCGCGCGGCCGAGGAACGGCGGCTGGCGATGGCCCGGAAGGTGCGGCGGGGCGGCCCTGCAGCCCGCCGGCTCCCGCGCCCGCCCGAGCTCCTACCCGTGCCGGCCGCCTGCAGGGAGCGCCGCCGTCCACGATGCGCCGAGCAGAGAAAGAAGCGGCCGCGGCCGTGTCCGCTGCCAGGCGGCGAGCGGTAGCCGAGCTCCTCCCCCGCCGCCTGCTGAAAGCTGCGGGCAGGTTTCATCATACGGAGCCCGCCCCTGGCGCGGGCAGGCCGAGGCTGGCTCGTTGCGGCAGCCCCGATGGAGGAGGGCTGCCCCTTGGGGCCGGGGGTTTGGAGCGCGCCGGCCCTATCGGGGTGTTTTAAGGAAAAACGCGAACTTCTAGGCGATGTGGGACTCCTCAGGTTCACGGGGTGATTTGTAAGGGTGATCTGTAGCCATCAGAACTCATCCACGGGGCTGCGTTGTTGTGTTCGGTTTGGGGCCCCTCGCTGCAAGAAAGACGTGCAGGTCCTGGAGTGTGTGCAGGGAAGGGCAGTGGAGCTGTGAGGGGTCTGGAGCACAAATCTAATGGGGAGCGGCTGAGGGAGCTTGGGTTGTTCAGTCTGGAGAAAAGGAGGCTTAGGGGAGACCTCATCACCCTCTACAACTTGCCTGAAAGGAGGTTGTGGCGAGGTGGGAGTCAGCCTCCCAAGTAACAGCGGTAGGATGAGAGGGAATGTCTTCATGTTGTGGCAGGGGAGGTTCGGGCCGAGTATGAGGAAAAAAAATCTCAGAAAGAGTGGTGAGGCACTGGCACAGGCTAACCAGGGAGGATGGCATCCCCATCCCTGGAGGTGCTCAAGCAATGTTAAGATGTGGCACTGAGGGATATGGTTGGTGGGCATGGGTTGGTGGGTGGACTAGGTGATCTTAGAGGTCTTTTCCAACCATAATGATGATTCTTAGAGCTGTGTTACTTTGTTTGGAAAAGAGAGCATTTACAAGGCTGCACAGTACTGCATTTACTGAGGAGCTTGCCTTGGGAAACTTACATATGCTATTGGTAAAGGGATTTTGAAGCCTGTGTGAACTTCATTAATGGGCAGTTTTGCCTTTTTCCCTTAGAAAATGCTGAAGTGAATAAATTCTGCTGAGAAAACTAGAAAGAGAAGCGCTAAATATAAACCTTTATTCTCCACACATACTTCAAGAAAGCTGTTAGTAGTCACTTGCAATGCCACTTCATCATTTGCTTTAGCTGACTTGGTTTGAAACTTCAGTACTGTGCATAAAGTTCTTCAGATCATGAAGAACTCTTTACAAAGTTACTTTTTCAGATTTTAGTAAGCATGCTGTAGTACTGTATGCATGAGAAGTGCCTCCCATGCTGATCATGAATAGAGGTAGGAAGCTGCTGCTCAGCACAGCCTTGCTTACACCTACTGACGCGAAAGATTGGACCTGGGAGAGGTGCAGCTTTGGGCAGCTGTGCAGGTGCCAGATGGACAGTTCTCAGCAGCTTTGCACAGCGTGGGCGAGCACAGTGAAAGTGTGAGCTTTGGCACATCAGTCACTGCCCACAGCACGAGAGCACTGGTTCTGCTGGGGAGCACCTCATGCAGCCTCCTGTTGGTTTGTTGTTGTTGGTTTTTCTTTCTTTCTTTCTTTTTTTTATTCCAGAGATCTAAATGTTAGAAACTACATTTTGAAAATGTACAATAACAGGTAAACACTGCATTAATGTAGGGTTGTTGTTTGTGTGGTTTTTGTTGCTGTTGTTTGCTTTTTTTGTCAGGGTCTTTTGTTAATAGCTTTTCACTACCTCTTTTCCTTCTTTTCTACCTGCAAAGAAAAGATCTCTGGAAGAGCCTGTATTTTATGGGTAATTCCTGGTTCATAATGGGGTCTCATACAGTGTTTTATAATAGTGAATACAAAAGTATTTGGAAAAATGAGAATATTGTCATAAAAAGCCAGAGCGGGGAGGTGAGAAGCAAACTGCAGGAAGAAATATTGGACAAGCAGTCAGCCAGGCTGCCCAATTCCTCCTTAATGTCTGTGCCCCTGGGGCACACTGGGTAACAGCCACTTATTTATCCTACCTTTTATTACCCTTCTTAAAAATTGGAGCAAATGGCCACATCTGAATGTGTCTTGCTTGTTTCATCCTCCATTTTAATGAAGTCTATGTTGTTAAATGTAGGACTAATGGGAGGAATACCAGACATAATATATTTTCAGATGTTCGCAATTTCACCAGTCACTAACTGCAATAGCACAGGTGATAACTGATATGTCTCTGTCCTTTTCTAGCCTTTTCTCTACTACTGTCAAGTCGCTCTTTACAGCCCTTTTACATTAAATGCAGTCCTTTTACATTAAATGTTGAGAAGAAAAGCAGCTTTGCTCTTCTCAGCCATCTTTCAGTGCCCTGCAGACACTGCTAATGGGCAATAGTTTCTCCAAAGCTTTGTCTTCTTGATGACTTCCCTGAAGCAACTTTCAGCAGTATTCCAGCTTTCCCATTTCTATATGCCAAGATCACAGCCTTCTTTGTAAACTCCTAGCAAGCAGACTCAGACCTATATTTGTTCTTATTCTGATGCTTGACTGGTGTTTAACGGCGGATCTTTGCAGATATCAACTTGTGATCAATCCCCTTAGAAATGGGCCTGAATCATGGATGCTGGTTGGTTAGTTATATCTGAATCATTGATCACCTGAATCGTTGAGCTCTAATAAGGCTACAGTAAACTGACTGTTAAAACAGAAGTGTGGTTAGTCAGGTGTGTTCCAGTCCTTGGTGTACCCGGATTGAAGTACCTTTATGACTTCCTTTGTATCCAGTATCCATTTTTAGCATGGGCCCACTGCCCTTCATTTAGCCTTACACAACATGAATTGCAACGTCATCTCTAATCCTAACTGGTGTAGTAATGGAGTCATGAGAATAGGCTGTTTCTAGATGCCTTGAGTAATCTTTTTTTCTACTCTCAGGGAATGGATATTCATGATGTAAGCTGGGCACAGATCTCCAAGAATCCTCTATATTCCAGCTTGAAATTTTCCTTTCACATATTTGCTGCAACAACACATCACCAGACATCATCATAGGCTCACCTGAGTGGGATATGCTACTATGACTTGTTTGTGAGCATCCACAAATTACTTCTGTGTTAAACTCTGTGTTCTACAGACCTCTCCTGTTCCTGAATGCATACTGTAACAAGAACAAGATGCCATCCTGGGGGCAGGGAGAACCAAGTGGCAAGCAGCAAATGCTCTTCCTGGCAGCAGCCTAATATACATTCTGGGACAGGAACTGAGCTTGGAAACAAAAGGCTGTTTCTGCTGATGGAGCCAATAGAAACATCCTTACCCCACGACAGCCTCACCAACCTATTACACACTGGAAGAAATTACCTGATGGGCTGGACTCAGTGGAAGCTGGAGATCAATTCCTTCACAACTGCATGGGTTGGCATAGATAACATGTCTCATACTCTGCCTGTTTTTACAAATACAAAAATGTGCAGTTAGATACATGCACTTTTACTAGGTGATATCTGAAGTGCCAGGTCTGAGAATACCTCTCACATTTCAAATGCATGATTATATGTCAGGGATGTGTATGCAGGGAGCAAAGCCCTTTTCCTAGTTTGGTTTTCCTTCCCCAGGAGAACAGTAACATGATGTGCTAAATAGGAAAAAGTTTTGAAATTCTCAGGCAACGACATGCTTTAACACTTAGATCTGAATGGGAAAACAAACAAACAAACAAACAAGCGAAAACAGAAAACAGAAGCTGTCAGAATCAAAAGCTGTTTGCAGATCTGTAACTTGAAGTAAGAGAGGCTCAAATTTGTATTACTCGGTCTTTTACCTGCTGGAATTGTACCCCATGTCTGAGAGCTTTGTGCTTGCAGCTTCTAAAGAACTTACCACCCCAGAACTGTGCTGTTTGCTCCTATAATTTTGAATATATCTATTTTTCTTTC